AAACCCCCCTATCCCTTAACCCCCCCCTTGAGGAAAACCGGAAGGAGCCACTACCGGTTCGACCCCCCCCCTCTCTCCGGAAAACCGAAGGGATCACTACCGGTTCGAACCCTCCCCCCCCCCTCGAAAACCGAGGGGGTCACTACCGGTTCGAACCCCCCCCCTTGGACACCGGGGGGGATCACTACCGGTTCGAACCTCCCCCCCCTCGAAAACCGAGGGGGTCACTACCGGTTCGAACCCCTCCCCCCCCCACGCTCACCGCCAGCAAACAACTCTGGGTCCCTACCACCGTCCGCATCACATCCCCCACTGCTGTCCCCAGCACCACTGTCCTCACCACCACTGTCCCCGCTGTTCCCACCACCGTCCCCACTGTCCCCACCAGTGCCCCCTCCACCGTCGCACTGACCCCACTGTCCCCGCCACTGTTCCGACCACGGTTCCACTCTCCCCACTTTCTCCACGGCCCCAACCACTGTCCCACTGTCCCCGCTGTCCCACTGTCCCCGCTGTCCCACTGTCCCCGCGGCTGTCCCACTGAGCTGTCCCACTGTTCCCACCACTGCCCCCAGTGTCCCCACCACTGTCCCTACTGTACCTCTGTCCCATTATCCCACCGCCGTCCTCGCCACTGCCCTCACCACTGTCTCCACCACCACTGTACCCTCCACTGTCCCACTGTGTCCACGACGTTCCCACTGTTCCCACACCACTGTCCCCACCACCAGAGTCCCCACCACTGTCCCACTGCCCCAACTGTTCCCACCATTGTCCCCGCTGTCCCCACCAGTGCCCCCACCAATGTCTCACTGTCCCCACTCTCCCCACCGTTGTCCCGCTCTCCCTTCTTTCCCCACGGTCCCCACCACTGTCCCAATGTCCCCACTGTTCCCACCACTGTCCCACTGTCCCCGTCGCTGTCCAACCGTGCTGTCCCACCGTCCCCACTGTCCCCATCACTGTCCCACTGTCCCCACTGCCCCCACCACTTTCCCCACTGTACTACTGTCCCACACTGTCCTCACCACCGCCTTCACCACTGTCCCCACCACTACCGTCCCCCCCACTGTCCCACTGTCTACCAGGCTTGCGCGCAAAATGCTTCTCCGAATCCATTGGGCTGCGATCGAAAACCTTATCCTAATTCAGCGGCTCCCCCACGAAAACCTTATCCTAACTCACTGGCCCCCCCACGAAAACCGTATCCTAACACCAGGCTTGCGCGCGAAATGCTTCTTCGAATCCATTGGGCTACGAGCGAAAACCTTATCCTACCTCAGCGGCCTCCCGACGAAAACCTCATCCGAACTCACTGGCCTCCACACGAAAACCTTATCGTAACACCAAGCTTGCGCGCGAAATGCTTCCCCGAACCCATTGGATTGCTGGCGAAAAACCTATCCTAACTCAGCGGCTTCCCTACGAAAGCCTTATCTTAACACCAGGCTTACGCGCCAAATTCTTCTCCGAATCCATTGGGCTGCGAACGAAAACCTTACCCTAATTCACTGGCCCCCCCACGAAAACCTTATCCTAACTCACAGCTTCCCTACGAAAACCTTATCCTAACACCAGGCTTACGCGCCAAATTCTTCTCCGAACCCGTTGGGCTGCGAGCGAAAACCTTATCCTAACTCACTTGCCTCCCTACGAAAACCCTATCATAACTCACTTGCCTCCCTGCGTCAACATTATCCCAACACCAGGCTTACGCGCGAAATTCGTCTCCGAATCCGTTGGGCTGCGAGCGAAAACCTCATCCTAACTCACTGGCCCCCCTACGAAAACCCTATCCTAACTCACCGGCCCCACCTCGAGGACAACGACGTCCAAACCTCAGGGGCCCACCGTGAGAACCCAATCCGAATACCTTGGGTTCCGCTCTGCGCGCCTCCGAAAACCTTACCCTAACCTTGTCGAAACTCCACGGTTCCTACTCGAAGCGCGAATAACTTCGCGCCTCGCGCTGCAATCTCCTGCTGTCCTAGCTCCAAGGATGCGAAGCGCGTCCACCTTCGCTCTGCGAACCGTCGTAGGCTCAGAGGCTCAGACCGCGAAGCGCGAATAACTTCGCGTTTTTGCGCCGCCACCCTGGGAGCGCGAAGCGCGACTAGCTTCGCACCCTCGAGGGAGCCCTTGCCTCCCAAATAGTCGGCACCATCTCAGCCATGAGTTTTCTCTCGCCGTTTTTCCGATCGCTACAGTTGGCACCTCACTCACATGTCGTAATTGTCCGCCTTTTTTTTTCTGAGCACCCGAAGTTGGCTCATGACTCGCACGTTCGTTCCGCTTACGCCTTTTTCTTGATATCTATGCTGGGACGTCACTCACCAGTCAGTTGGGGGAAAATACCCAGCCATACGTTTAGACACAAAATATACATGCGAACATAGACATGTTTAGACACGTTTAGACATGTTCAGACACGGCAGAATAGACACGGCGTAAAACTTTAGACACTGCTTCAAAAATAAACACGTTTAGACACTCGAGCATG